CTTTTGGGCAAACCACACTGAGCATTTTGGGGTACTTTGTAACAATGAACTTAAATGACTAAATACGAAAATTCTCATGAATAGCCTTTAATGAAAGGAAAACATATCCGAAAAGGGGAAATATCGTCGTGAAAAAAGTGCAGTACCCTCATCGTGTTCAGTTCAAATGAAGAAGTTAGTATTTAGCATAGAACAGTCTTTCTGTATCAGGAGTTTTAACGCACTTTGCCGCATTCTCGGAAGGGCCCCTTTCCGTGCATCCGACCTAAGCCACGCAAATAGACCTTTGCAAACAGCTAACGTAATGTAACTGCAATCGTTTGAATTTCAACAATATATTGATCGAACAATCACAGTGAAATTTAACTTTGGTAACCAGGTCGAAATCACTCATAACAAATTAGTCACTGTTGAGATAAGCTGGAAGAGACTGGGATGTTAAAATCTTCTACTTAAAATCTTTTAACACATCGTGTACAACAGATGGTGAAACAATTCAGCCGATTAAGACCATCGTTGTTGCCATATATCAAGAGAGCGGAAGACGAAATCGAATGTGCTATCCTCCGAAAACTTATTGAGAAAGATATGCACAAGTTTATGAGTTTAGCTTCAAATTTCAGAATTTGATGTAGACATAAAATGTTTTGGGTTGGATGTTTCAAAAAGAATGATATGATGAACTCTGGATAACATCTTATTGAGCAGATAAAAGAATTACGTCAGGGAAATATGTTTTCTTCTGTGATGAAAAGAAATTATTCTTGGACGGATCAGGTGCGCTGGACTACAACTGACATGATTTAGGAAAAGAATAACAGCTTTCTGATTAATGGCAAAAGTTCGCCATTTGTATTGTGCAGATTGTTGGTTTAGGGTTTGACTCACGTGATCCGTATGGTATGGCATTTGAGATATGGATGCGTATGTTTGCATACCGGAGCTATATCTACTGCCATTGAAGGCTTTCAACAATCAGGGGGAGTCGATAGCTCAGCAGGATGGTGGCACAGTTCACAACTCGTATCTGATTGGTTATTGTTCCGTGGTAGTAAAATTATGGTTTGTATTGAATGCAGCCCAAACTTCAAAATAGTGGAAAACATTTGTTGTATCCCGACCCGAAGTTGAATTATAGTTCATGAATATATGAATCGACGGCTGAGCTGGTGGTCGTTCTAAAACTGAAATGACCGTCTGTAGCCACAGATGTCTTCTTGAGCCCCGTAGAAGATAAGTACAGAGGGTGTATTGAGGTACTGAAACAAAACGGCCACCACTTGCAATATCAATATTTTTTATTTGGATGGATCACCTGATGCAATACAGTACTTTTCACCAGTGTTTTACATTTTCAATTATATTTTCCTTTAAGTGACAGTTACGTAATAGTAGTTTTTTATCTATTTGTTTCTACTAGACTGCTGTATGATTACCAAAAAAATGGTTAATTTGATACCTCTCAAAGTTGAGATACTGCGAGGAGAGGGTTGATGAGCTTTCGCCCCGGCGTAGCAAATAGAGAAAGATTTACTCTGGACTAGCCTGCATCGCATCACGGTTTCATTCTCAGTGATAGCGACCGGTGGAACAAGGTCATACTATTTTCTCTCGTTGCCTTCTCTCCTCCCTCTACCCCCCCCCCTATGTCTATATATTACCATGCATCATTCTGAAACTCAAAGTTAACTGCATCAGTTGTTGGGAAAAAACGAAAAGGAACTTGGAATTAGAATGTAGCTGTGATCTAGAACTAAATGAGTGTTTGGTCACTTGGATTAACTGAGGACTGTATCTGTCGAAGTTTGATAGACGGCGATTAAGAATTAGCAATACTTACACCACACCACTACTCACAAGTAGTTGTCAGTCAAAATGTGAATCGCCTTTTCCAATCACTATTGTGTTCACTTTCCCTTGAAGTTGCGTCATACGTCACGTGTTTTCCCCGTTTTAATTTCTCATCTCAATATGCATCATATCGATTTTTCTTTCGATGATTACAATGGCATACTCTAAATTAGTTGTAAAGAAAAATTGTTAGATACTGACTATCTCTGTTCTTCTATAGTCCTCTACCCCACATACTGCTGAAACACCTGTTTGTTTCGGATATTGAAACACTGTTTTGCTGCTATCCAATTTGAGTAGTGACTGATTAAATAAACATGCAGTGTGCAAGTGGTTAGTCTTCTAGCTCGCTAGCCTATCTAGTTAAGTATGACAATTTCTGTCTGTAACTGACGAATTTAATCAAAAAATATTCTTTTTAATCAGTGAATAGATTATCCTTTTCGATCAAATCAAACCTTCTTTCTCTGCCGGAATCGTTTCGTGAAGGGAGATGGCGGAGTAGAGGTGGAGTGTGGCAGTTAATAATGCGCCGCGTTCTGATCCTCGCGTTTGGTTTTACAATCATGACGATCCTAGATCCAGACCATAAGCAGTCAGAATTGTTAAGCACCCACCCGTCTCTTCACATCCATTTGTTCAAATAATTTGTTCACACTTTTATAAATCCCTCCAGTACTCCGTTCATCTCTGTCAGAGAGGCGCGTTCACCGCAGTCCCGCTGACGCGAATCTGACTAGGGACTTTTTGAGGCTGTCAAAAACAGATTTTTCACGCGTTCCACCTAATCCCAGTCTCGTAGAACTCTGCACGAACTGCGCGCAAATCACAAATATTGCGCTGCGTTTTACAAGGATTTTCGGAACAACCGGAATTCACCGACTTTTCAGTTTATTGGAAATACTGTGTACTTTGATTACGTTTTTTGCATTTACTGTGAGAATCAACGTCAACCCAACCCAAGCGGTACGCGTGAGTCTGTACGCATACATGCACATGTACGATTTCTAGCGGTAGCAAATAAATCAAGCAGCTGGGCTCAATGCATTGTAGTACTGCTGCTCTATTTGCGAACGTTCTTCCGCATATGCAAACACCTGGTTATCATTCATAGTTATATCTAAAAGAAAGTTATGCATACTTTGTGTTAACACGTGAGACCTATTCACAGTTGTAACATTTTAAGACAAAATTGTTCGATCTGACAATAGTTTCAGGCTAGTTTGTCCAGATGGACTCCAACAGTTGGCTGCGCATGAAGCTCTCTGCCAAGGAGGGCTACAGTTGTGTCACATCTCAGTTGAATTCTCGTTGGGCGCCAAATGCGGCTTATTCTGCTCAGAAGCAGGCAACGTGAAGCTTATTTCACATACGCTCGTTTCTTCACGAATATTCGTTTCTAGAATTTGGGTTATAATTTATTTTATTTTCAAAGGGACCCTTTACAGAGTGGCCGGGGGAGGGGAGTCCGCTAAGAATGTATTCCTTTTCTAAAACCAAAACTTTTAGCAGATCTCCAAACACCCGGTTGAACTGATTGCTGGTAGCTCTTCGGTGAGACTCTTATCCACCATTAATGAAGAAGTCCAATAAGAGGTTATCTGATTCATTATAACTGTTACATCAACTTATGAGGTATTTGACAAAGTCTGCATTACGAACATCCATGGGCAATGTGCATTCTGATATGTGCCAAGTAAACAAAATGTTTTCAATGCACGGAAAGTTTTCTGTTCGCTATTCAGAATCTCATTCGAACATCGCAGACTCGGGAACTAAAGCACGTCTTCCAGGTGATAAAGTTGAGTTGAAAACCCATATCTTGATTATGTACGTTTTTTCCCCGGCCATTTTCTGCATAGCCTAACTGTTGTCTCAACTGCAGAATGTTATTATTGGACGGTGGAGGGGGTTTGCGAATCAGTCAAAGTTAAACACGATTTAAGGATGAATCATAAGGTAATTCCAGGGGATAAACAGAGACTATTGCACACACACACAGTGGGATGTATGTTTACTCTGTCATCGTAATGCATCGATTGTGCAAACATTATTTTTCCCAGTACATTTTCAATCGTTCTCTCACTCAGCAAATTAATACGCGCAATCCGCCAACTGCTCGTTGTTTCTCACTCACGTTGGTTTTCCTAGTCTTGTGTAACAATCCATTCTCCTCCAGTTTTTTCTATTTTTCCGTTTTGGTTCAGTTGCTATCAAATGATCATTGATTTTTGCGTTTATGTTTTATGGCACACGAGACTATCCGATTTGCTCATTTCCTCCCCATTTGCAGCTTTGTATCCGGACTTGAGACAACGGATAGCCAATCAAGAGGAAGCGGAACTACGAGCAATCGATGTGGAAAAGAGGTCAGTGTTGGTAATCGCCTTTAATAGGTACATGCCAGCCAGTTTCCCGAGTCTGGGCAAACACTAGTTGGCCCTTTGATCAAGGCAAAACAAAAATTGTAATGAGCAACAAGATGTGCTTTGGTGTATAGAGATGAAATCAGGCAGTGCTTCTCAGTGAACTCGAATGTAATTTATTTCCGCAGTCACGTTTTCGATTAATAAAACGCCTGGTCGCTCAGAAACAGTCGATGGTTTTATTATCGAACGATATAGGCAAAAATAACTTTCAGCTTACCTGAGTTAAATGATAAATCTTAAGCTGCTTGCGGTCCTTTTGGAATGTGACCGAATCTTCAACAAACGCCTTTGGGAAAAAATAGCATGAAATCAGGAATTCGGTAATTACTAAATCGATCTGCTGTACAAAATCTTGATCAGAGATGAGAATGAACAATCGAGACTTATTATACTGATTATCTATTTTTCTTTGTTAAAAACAGACCAAAGAAAATTCCCAACTCACGGTTTTCCCTCTTTCTCGTTTTTTAATAGTAAAACCGTTCCGCATTGTTCTTCGCAACTCGATCTTTTACCGTGATGTGAAACTTTGAAAGTAACATCTAAAACTCATTCTTGGGCATGTTCATTACATTTCGAAAATGTTACGTCTATTTTAAATGAACTATTTTTCGTCCGAATCTAGACTCGACTGTATAAATGATTCACTCCCATTTTGGATTTTATCAGAAACTAATCAAGTGATTCAAGTGTACTAGCCTTTCTAATCTAAATCACTGGGTTTGATTGAAAATACCTGATCATTAAACTACTTTGCTAAGCTTTATATATATAATGCGTATAACAGCTTATTTTGCTGCACCGCAGGACAATCTACCTATGCGATGTTTGATAGAGATCCTGGATTTGCTCTCGTTATTTTTTGTTCAACCTAATCTCATGTTAGACGACTTTGTTCCGGTTAACTTGTGAAAATCGATTTCGTTAGTCTGCCACAATGGAGAAAATTTTGCTCAAAACAGCTGACTGACAGCGTCATAAAAGTATCAATTCAAGGACAAGAAATAGCTTAGGCATACAACGGGTGAAAAATAGACGCAATTTAACTTGCATTGTCCACTCTCGCATCAAATCGCATTTTTACATTTGGTGAAGTTTCTGGTTGCCTATTTCAGTCCATCTGAAAGAAAATTCCATCCATTCAATGCATTGCAATTTTATTCAAATAATATTCAATTAAAGTAAGTACAACGACGTCAATGAGCACCTCGTACTGATATGGCCAGTGAAACACGCTGCGCTTGAAATACTGTACAAATTGGCTAAAGTCGACTGACACTTCATTCCGACGTAATTGTTGAATGCGAGATCAAGGATTGTGCATTTGCACGAAACCAATCGACATTTGCTCATTGAGCTTCTAAAAATCACCCAGATCCTTCAAAGAATCACGATGAGTTTTTCCCTAGCTAGAAAAAAGGACATGTTTTCGTTCTTTTTGGTGACAGGATAAGACAATGAAGGTTGAGTGGCCTAAAGCCAGACATGTCTGGCATATCTGCGTTTGAATATGTGCTGTAAAATGGTTTTCTTATACCACAAATTGCATATTATTAAGTGAAATTTACCTTGTTAGTCTACAATGACACGCTGATACTGAACTTTAGTCGATTCATTTCTAGTCTCTACCAATAGGGTTTTATTTTGGAAAATAAACTTACTTTTCAAGTGAATCACTCAGAATTCGGTTACTCGGTCATTCTTGGGAACTTGACTTTGCTTTTCTTCTTTTCAAGCATCGTTCTCAAAGCCCTTTCTTATCAACACCATTAACCCACATTTTTCACATCCAATCAAAGGGCTGTCTCTTGCTGCTCCTTGTAAAATGAATGCTGCAGCTTCGTCTAGCCTGTCCCTTCTCGGTGACTGCACTCGATTCAGCGCTTTACAAAGTTTGGTTGTTAACCTATCCGCAAATCAATCTTATCTATAGTGGTATATCTGACATGCGGTTGCAGCTGAACGTGACTTGTTTATTGCGATAAAAACCGCCCCTGTATGTCACTCATCCTTGCTTTGTAAGTTGTTCTTTTATCTAGCTTTGGCATTCTTTTCTTCTTGTACTCCCCCCAGTAAATGTTTTGTTTTTGGATCGATGAAAGCCCCTTAACCCACCTACGATCGAAGATATTTTCTCGAATGCTTTTAGCCATCAAGTTTCTTTTGGTTTCAAATCACGTGTGTTCTTAACCATCATTACACGTCATACATTTATGATAAACACGCCATCGAGTAATGAATATTAGTCACGAGGACACAGTAGAAATCGAAGAATTAAAATATGAGTCCGAATCTCCTAAAACCGTTATAAAATGGACTTGAATTAGAGCAGGAGAAAGGTATCCGAATTGGACGGAATTCTCGATAGACTCAACTCAAAATTTGTAAATGCAATGATCACTCTAGACAGATGAGTTTAGTTTCCTTTACCTTAAAATGAAACAATGTGAAATCATCGCCAACCTTCACATTTATAGAATTATTCAAATAAAGTGGTACGAAAAATTCTCCTAGAATGCGCATTCGAGGCTGGTGGACGTATACAAGCACGAACGACAATTATAGGTTGTAATTTAATGAATCCGCATTGCCTGATGAGTGGCAATTATATCAAAACTATTTGTGAACGGCGCTCACTCAGACGAACATCGCTGTACAGACAAATCTGCTTAAAATTTGCCGAAGTGAATACATGATCATGCCATTTTTGAAAAAGGAAATATATTTTGATCGCAATGCCATTACCAGAGAATGTGTAATAAACACCGCTTGCGAGAGCAAGATCATGGAGAAAGCGTTTCCTAGTTGTGTGTTCATGGTGCTGCTTATTCTACACGATTTACACTAATAGTTATCGGTGCAATTTTCCGTTGACCGGAAAACATCAGCTGAAGAATCCAAGCAGGCAGAGATTAAATGAACTTCATTGAAGGTTCCTCCCTTACTCTCATGTTATCAGCTTTGGTTTATCACATGTTCACACACACAGTAGTTACCTCAGATGTATTCCATTCAGGCCTTTCATCATCTACACAGTAGAACTCAGCCCCTCACAAAAAACGAACAATTCTCGTATACACTAACTCATTGTTCAGTTTCTTTTTTCCGCTAACTGACGACTATTCAGGTTACTGGACGAACATCTGCATCAGTTGGAAGATATTGGAGAAAAGTGCAAACGGATCAAGGGCACAATCATGACGCTAAGACGGTACGTGTTTTGTGTGTGTGTGTGTGTGTGTGTGAATTTCTTTCTAACTGGGTTTACCCGTTCCCTTGTAACCAGTGCGTTTGTGATCGCCCGTCCGCCACTGTGGGTGTGTCCAATTGCGCGCGCTCGAGTTTGTGTGTGTGTTTGGTTTTTTCTTGTAAAAGTGCTAGTTACCGTTCGTGCATACGGGAAACTTTCCGAGACGGACAGGTTTTGATCTTTCCCAATCATCGATCGTCATTTGTATCCCACGGTTCATCGGGGTGGGCTAACTTTGAGTGATTGGGAAAGTTGCTTGCAGAACACTGCACTCCATTGCAACGATAAACACGGCGAGTGACAAAGTGCTCGCTCGAGCGCAAGCGCAAGCGCGCGCGCTACAGAGAGAGAGAGTGATGAAAAGACTCCACAAGTTGCGCATCAGATAACGACTATCTGGAAAGTTGTAAATGCCTCCCCCGCCCCACCCCACCCCGCTTCCTTAGCACACACACACACACACACATACGAAGTTGTTTGTCTACCGCATTAGTAGAATACGACTCAGTCCAGTTCAGTTCCTTAGGTCCTGTCTAACGGTATGCATGTTGCTCTGTCAATCTCGGTTTTTCAGTACAATTTTGTTCCAGCTAGAAATTTAAACGCGGGTCATTGCTTTTTTTTTATCAGTGCATGATCTCAATAGACCGGATAGCCTTGGCTCCTCTCTCTTTCTCTCTTGCAGGCGTAGAGCAAAACTGACCGACTAAACGTAACAGAACCTAGTATTCCATGTGATGAAAACGTCCAGGTACATTTTGTTGTGTATGCAATCAGTTTCAATTTAGCGACAATCAGCGCATACACACCCCCAAACTGGCGCCCACGTGAACCCCATCCAACGTAAATTTTGTTTCGACATAAAACTTCGCTATTGCTGCTCTTCAGTTCCATTCGGACTATTTACCACAAATGAGGCTTTCATCGGTTTAACCAGTACTGAGCGGAACCTGCGCATATCATGAGTATTTCTTTCTTTTTCTTTTCATTTTATTTCCTTTTATTGGATATATAAAGATATAATTTTCAGGAAGGTGGAAGCGGCCAATCAAAAGGCTGCCATTCAAAACGCAATGGGGAAGTCAGGCGGTGGTGGTGGGATTCGAATACACATCCCCGGGGTGATAATTTGGTGACGTTACTACCGTCTGAAGATATGTGATCTACGCTACCATGACCGTTGAATAGCGGAACAGCCTCACGCAACTCGGGCAACGGAGATAGTCACTGCATTTTTCTAAGTTCCAGCGTGATGCTGAGACGTATACGACGAAATTTACGTGATGCTAATATCTAAAACTTCAGTTGAAGTACCATTAAAAGACTGAGAATCTTAGCAATGGCGTGTCAATAGCAAATTTGGTTCAAAGAGGAGATGATCTACAATGATCGAAGGCGCTTGTTCACGTGCCATCAATTAGGTCGATGAATGCTATTGGTGGCTGAGTTTTTTCTTCTTGGATTAGGTCGCACCGGTAGGGTTCAAATCATATATCTTATGTGATTATCAATACTAAATCAATTGCAGCCGTCAAATTTATGTAAAGGAATTAGGCAATTTCTGCACTTCATCAAATTAAATAAGGTCGGCTACCTAGACTGAACCAAGCTCAGAGTTAATCGACAAGGTCTTTATATGCAGTCTAGAATGTTAAATTTGAATGTGCGATTTTCATTCGGTTCCGAACTTGGCATATTCAGGGTACTCAGCTAAGCAGCCACATACCTGCATATTTTAAATAATTTCCCAGGCTCTCTCAAATAAACTATCTGCTCTTGACTCAATAAACGGTCATTTGAGTTTAGTGAAAATAATTTTCTGTCAATGAAAGGCAGTGATAAGAATGTGTCTAACCGTATTTTCAAGTTAGTGACCGACTAGAATGGACGAAACGTAATTTCTTTCTTCTTTTTTAAATAACTGGATACGAACAGCTTTGTTATTGGTTATTACATCAAGGAGGAACAGGGAAACCCAGCTTCCAATTCTGTTGGTTCTATTGATAATTGGATTTACAGATGCTCAATAAATCGCTAAATCCTTCCAATTTCCCGCCCTCATAGCTATCCAAGAGCTTTACAAATTTTGTTCGCAATGATATTCACTAAGTATTTGACAAGTGGGTCGATCCACGCACTCATGCGCATGAGATGAAGTGACAGGGATATCGGTAACCATGCCGTGTGTTGCACTTAGTATTGCCTATTATTGATATTAAAATAAAAGTGAAGACCTCAAATGGTTTTTTATTTGATGTGTTGCCTGAAAATTCTCACCATTGGTCCAAGGTATATTTTCGATTTTTTGATACAAGATGAATAATTTCCACGGCATTCACTATTTAGTCACTATGATCAAAGTTATCAGTATCAGCAAAAAGGGATCAAAGCATAGAGTAAGTAAGATCGAATTCGTCCGATAAACAAACAACTTACATGTACGAAATCAAATACCTCGCTTAATCGGGAAACGTGCTCGTTTTTTGGTCTAATCAAATGTGTTGTTACTTAAGTCAAACCGCGTGTGACAGAGCCTGATCCGATTAACAAAATGCGATTGCCCACATTCTAGTGACTGCTTGTAGTGACTTGTCCTCATTTAACTTCTCAGACAGAACACAGTGAATTTGTACAACTTCGCTTGTCCTCACTGTCTAATTGACGAATCTCTGGAGACCGGGGTTACAAGTGACTGACGAGATGTAGGTCAGGACAGTCATTCAGACGACTGCATTTTCAACGTGGCGATTATACTGCTTCCCATGCCAAACCTATAGTTCAAAGCGCAATACAAGCAAACACAATCAGCGGGACGAAGATGGTCCTTTTTTGCTCAAATGAATTCACTTGTGTTTTGAAATCATTCAGTCGCTTGAATGCAATGCTCCACCACGAATCAGACTTCGGGACATCGAAGACAAGGCAGAGGGAGAGAGAAAGGCGTACGGACTCACTTTAAGTTTGGCAATGTTTACGTTCATTTCGTGTCATTTCTATGAGTTGGTTTGCTACTAAACTCTTTTAGATGTGTTCTAACTCTTGTTTATTCAGTCTGGTCTACTGCACCTCGTAATTGATGATTTTTCATGTGATTGTTTCTTGCTAGGATTATAAGACATTTTTGACTAGATAAGCCATGCGTTAAGCGTTGTATGTGCGCCAGACAAGCTATCACGAAAAACGCAAGAATATCATACGATATACATTTACATATTGGGGAGCATTTGGCCTTTGTGAAACAGAATTGGTATGGCATCCACACATTTGCTTTCACAGATTTGAATTCTACAAAAGACCTACAAAAAGCGGTATGGATCAGGATAAAGTAATCGAATTGGTTAAATGAAAGTGAAGGTGAAAAGTTGGAATACGCATTTTATAGTCATGTCCAACTTTACAACCCGAACTTAAGTGACGCTTGTTGTTTCGATTCTGTATGGCACAAACAGATGCTCCNATGCTCCATTGAGCAAACGAGGATGGTAACGACCACGTGTACTTTGTGTCCGACATTTCCTTTAGAGCTAAAGTTCACTTAAGTTCAATCTAAATATCAGAATGAATCAATCCATGTTAATCTCTCCAATTTGCTAAATTGTATTAATGATGGACCTGCACGTGCGCGCACGCACCCGTGCTCATCAATGAAACCGGTCTGTTTTGGCGATGTGCCCGCAAAGCATATCAGCACTGGATTATTCACATCTCTTGGTCGATACGCGGTCTCTAATAGGGCAGATTACAAATGCATTCGAATAGCTTGCAGCCCCGCAATTCGAGCATTTGAAGGAGATTTAGAGCACGGGGTACATGATCTAATTCGTTGTGTCACTGTGTCAGAATTTGTGCATCCAACCGCATACTTATTCGCTTGAGGAATTAATGTCCTCTCTGATGAGGCGGAAAAGCAACCTTGCCGAAGGAATCGGGTTTGTGTGGGATCGGTGCAAGCCTTTTCATGTCTGCTCCTTAACTATAGATCCATTCACGGTTTCGGCTACCACCACCCACAGTATCACCGCCGTCGCCGTCGCCAACATCACTTCCCACTTCTACTGTCTGCAAACGCGAAAATTGGAACTGAAGTTTCCTGACCAGCTTATTTGAATACTCAGCTTTGATTGGCCTAATTCAGCAAAACCATTGGTCCATCTCT